AACACTGAGGTATCTAACCTTTTCAAAAGTGCCAGACCACCACATCCTCCCCATTGATTCTGGGAACAATAAATCCTACAGAAAGAAGAGGTTTCAATTCAATAAAGCTTGGATCAAAATGGAATGGGCTTTTGACACAGTAAACAATGCTTGGAATAGTAGAAAGAAGAGGTTTCAATTTAATAAAGCTTGGATCAAAATGGAATGGGCTTTTGACACAGTACACAAGGCTTGGAATAGTAGTAAGGAGGGTACTCCAATGTACTAAATTAGAGAAACAATCAAACAAATGGGGATGGCTATTATTAACTGAAGTAAGAGTTTGAAGAAGGTGAATAGTGATTTGATTGAAAATCTCACTCTGCAGTTGGATGAAATGAGAAAATCTAGTGGTGAGATGAATTGGGAAGCTTGGGAGGCTATCAAGTCTGAGCTGGATAAAACACACTGTGGTTAGGATACTTTCTGGAGACAAAAGGCAAGAGCCCTATGGTTGAAGAAGGGGGACTGTAATACAAATTTTTTCATGCCTTTACACTGCAGAGAAGAAAGAGAAATGTTATCCAAAGGCATATTAATGAAGAATGAAGATGTTCAATTCTGAGCGGGATATTGAGAACCAAGTGGAAAACTTCTACAAATATTTATTCTTCTCTGAAGAAGCACAAGGTGAAGGAGTGGCTCTGCATCACCTACCCCATTCCATCTCTGATGAGAGAAATATGGCTGTTATCGCCTAGTGGAGGATCAACAAATCCATTCAGCTTAATATGGCTCCTGACAAGGCTCATGGGAAGACGGTATGACTGCTATATTTTTTCAGCATTTTTGGACTCTTGTAAATTTAGATATTTGTAGGCTGTAAAAAGCTTTTTCCATTCTGGTCAACGTTTGAAATCCTGTAACCACACTCTCATCACTCTGGTTTCTAAGTGTTTAAATCCATCCTCACTTTGTCATTTCAGACCTATTAGTCTGTGTGGTGTGGTTTACAATATCAATGCAAAAATTTTAGCTCTGAGACTCAAATTTTGCCACAGTGAGTGTATTAGTCTGCCCCAAACTGCATTTGTTCCTGGAAGATAGCTCATGGACAATGTCATTATTGCTCATGAAGAGTTCCATTTCCTTAATAGGCATAGGTCTGGTCCAAATGTTTTCACGGATATTAAATTGGATATGAAGAAAGCATATGACTGGATTCAGTGGGATAACATTAGGAATACCATGTTTAAAATGTGTTTTCACACTACTTTTAATAAGTGGATTTAGGCTTACATTTCATCCTCTACATTTTCTTTTAATATAAATGAAAAAGTCAGTGTTTTTGTGTCCCCCACTAGAGGTATTAGAAAAGGTGACCCTTTATCACTTTATC